TGAGAAGCAGTCACAGTCGTCGGTGTCTCCCCAGTGCCACAGACGGCGTCCGTGTACGTTTTGATGGACGCCGAATTGTCAGCACTCCGAGTCGCACGGTAGCTTGTCGACGAACTCGTCTTATGGCACTTGCCGTCTGCCGAGTATGTAGTGATACCCAACAACTTATCGTCCGCACAGGACTGTGAAGCCGTGTACTTCTCCACGATCACGTACGGGTTCACGCCGAACGCAGCAGCCATATCGTCTTTATACGTCAAAGTAGAGCTACATGATGTTCCAGTGTAAGGAGCCGCTTGGCCAGTGCACGCCACTGTCGCAGCACATGCATCCACCCCGACCACAGTCGACGCCACATACGAGGGCAGGCCTGACTTGCACGTATTTGCAGCCGTATCGTAGTTCACCGTGGAGGTCAAGTATAGCGGCGTCGTGCCGGCACCATACACCTTTGTGTCAGCAGTGCAAGCTCCCTGGGAAGTACCCAAACTCGTCGTCGTCTCTCCTGAGCCACAGATTCCGTCCGTGTATTTTTTTATGGAGGCCGAATTGTCTGCATTTCGAATCGCACGATAACTTGCCGACGAACTCGTCTTGTGGCACTTGCCGTCCGCCAGGTACGCAGTGATACCAGACAGCTCCTCGTCGGCACAAGACTTTCCGGTGGTAAAAGTTTGCACAATCACGTACGGGTTCACGCCAAACGCAGTACCCATGTCGGCTAGATAGGATGAAGCCGAGCTACATTTGGTACCCGTATAGGGAGCTGCACTGCCCGTACAGACAGAGGTCGTCAAACAGGTAGTGTCCACATTGGCAACCGCAGTTGAGACAAGTGACGGAACCCCAGACGAGCAAGTGTTCGCCGTCGTATCGTAATTCATCGTCGAAGTCAGGTACAGCGGAGTCGTGCCAGCGCCATACACCTTTGTATCCGAAACACATGCATGAGAACTGCCGTCAGCAGCACTAACAGTGAACTGTGTTCCTAACGTTCCACACACAGCATCCGTGTAGGATAGGACGCTAGCTGAACCGTCCGCCTTCTGCGCCGCGCGGTAGCTCTTCGCAGTGTCCGTCTTGTGACACTTGCCATCGGCCAGATACGCTGTTACACCAGACAGTTCCGTTGCAACGCAAGCCTGTCCAGA